AAATGTCGAAATGATTTGCGGTTTTGGTATATGATGAGTCACAGTAGTCTTGCCTCTTGGAATATGAACGGATAAACTATCGTAATATAATCGTTTCATTCCATTAACCTCCTTTATCCTTGAAATAAGCCTCTCTGGCAATAACATATATAATGGTATTAAATCCCTTTGATTAATAATCCTCCAATTGGTAAAATGTTTTAATCTTTCCAGCTCTTCAGTATCGGTTGTATCGGGTTTTTCATCAAATTGAAATTTCCCACCCAAAATGATCTCCTTTGGCCTGTCCGTTATTAAAAATTGTTAGATTAAGTAGAATCAAGTAATTTGATATATAAAACTGCATACTGACCAGAAAAACCCATACACTTTACCCACTCTATGAAGAGCTTCTCTTCTATCTTCATGTATATCTTCATTTAAGGCATCTTCAATAGCTTCAATGTATTCTTCGGTCGCTTCTAAATCTCCCGGTAATAATCTAATTGTGCCTTTTTCACAACAAAGGAACTTTCCGTTATTATCTTCAATTTCTTCAAGGTTTTGATGGGTTATAACCATCATTAAATGCAAATTCTTAATCCGGAATGCACTTTTATTTGCTTGAACAGTAGCATCATCTTTTGTTTTATACCCCCTAGTTAGATTAAGGTTTCTCACAATTTCAGGAAAACCGGGCCTTGTCAAGTCTTTTTCAATAAAGAATGAAAAAGACATATCGGCTTCACCTGTTCCATCGGTTGGAACTAAAATATCCTTTAATTTATATTCATTTTCATCAACGAATGGTATTTTATATTCAAATCTATTTCGAAAATTTGAGTTTTGTCGACCAATTAACACTAAATCATTTCGAGTTAAATATTCCCGTACTTTGTCTAATGACGTTGATATATCAACCTCCGTTAAAATCAAATTAAATTCATTAACAACACTATTCTCAGCAACCACTACACCCCTCACACTGAGTGGGTTAATTTCATATGCGGCCTTAAGAAATTGCATCTTTAACAAATATTAAAACGGTGTAGATTTAATGTTCTTAAATATTCAAGAGAGACATGAGGATGCGACTTTCAACACGGTTATGTTAAATATAATTAAAATTTTAAAATAAAAAATAACGTTATCAATATTTGGTCAAATGATAAAAACAAAAACAAAACAGTATTAATTTGGATCGTTGTGACCCACCCTAAAAAATAGGGTGAATTAAATGACATAATTATACCAAAATACAATAATATAACTCATTTCATTTACGAGTATTCCTGTATCTTACGGACTCAATTCTAATTTTTTTCCGTTCGCCTATCTTTGACTACGTCAATTAAATCTATCAATATGCCGCAGTATATGTTATACCAGTATATAGAAAGATTGGTCAGAGAAAAAACAATCCGTTTGATAGATTATGACGAGTTCAACCAAATACAAGACAGATTTGACGAAAAAAATGATATAAAGAAGAGGTTATGGAACAATGAACTAGTAAATTTATGCCTGTTAGAAGATTTAGATAGATGTGACAACACTATCGTTGCGAGGCTATTAAACGAGGTAAATAAATGCAACATACGAATTGAAAAATTTCACCGAAACTAATTATTTATTTTCTTAGCTTAAACCATTTAAACACAATAATGTGCTAAGAGTTTTTGGCCTCACTTTTGGTTTGTACATTACTTAAATCATTAATAGAGCAGAGATAAATAGATGTTTTATGTGAGTGTAAGTAGGATATCGGCAGGAATAGCGTATTTATTTATTAAAATACCGCATCGAAAAACAGTTCTTAAAAGAATAAATTTAAATATTATTTTTTCTTATTGTTAATGAATTTAAGCGAGATAATCTCTTTCAAACATTAACTTTCAAAGCAACGTCCATTTGCAAATGACTAGGAAATTCTAGTGCAAATTTTGGTTAACTGATAATTCCGGCATAAAATCCGAAGTCTTGACCTTAAACACTAACCGGGAAAAAAATATTTATTCATTTTCAGATCATGCAATTCATTGTTTATGTTTCTTTTTGATATTTTAAATCAAAAACAATATTTTGATGGCAAGGAAATGAGATTTTTTTTACTGAATACAAAACTATTGAGATTGCAGTTTTAGTATAATAAAAAATATTCCCCCCTATAACCTTTAATTCTAACATCTTGATCTAAATATTAAAATTTTATATGTTTTCAATTTTAAGCTTGTAATGCGCTATTGTTATTATCCTGCCCACATAAAACATCTGTATCAGAGATAATTTTATTTCTGTACATAAATAAGTTCATAACCTTTTAATTATTATTTAATGTTAGATGGAAAAAATTATTATTTTGTCCGTGAATATTATACCATGGACTTACGTTCTTATTTCGGTCAAATGCGCGCTAACGGCACTCCTCTAAGTTGGAACGACAAAATAGCTCTAGTACAACAAATGGTCGATGGCCTCCAGTATCTTCATAATCAAAATATTATACTCTCAGAGCTAGTAATATTTAACAGTTTTATATGCTTATTATGTATAACGATTGGCAAAACTAACATATTTAAATGCTTAGCATCCGAAAAACATTGTAATGTGTGAAGGAATTCCTAAATTCACTAATCTTAGAATGCCTCAAGTCCGTTCAAAAGAAGAATTTACATTTTCCAAATATTCTCCTCCAGAAGTTTTATTATCGCACGGAATTGACAATAAAAAAAAATTAAATATTTATTCGTTGGGCGTGCTAATGTGGGAAATATCGAATGACGGTATCGAGCCCTTCAACGATAATCGTTCAATTGCCTTAGCAATTGACATTATCAAAGGTACTCGAGAATCACCCGTCAAAGGAACACCACGTAAACTTATAGAGCTTTACAGAAAATGTTGGGATGACGAACCTGGTAAATTTTAAATTCATATATTATTATTTATTCTTTAATTAAAATTATAAATTAAAATCACATTTAATTTTTTAACTAGCCGCTCGGCCCACTTGTGCAAAAATTCTTGATGAATTGAACAACATATCGCTCACAGACATATATGATGTTGATAGAGCCTATAATACTGCCAATTTTCAGGCGTTTAAACCTAAACCTAAATCAATCGACCTAGAACTGTCGTTGGATTATGAAACTTTACTTAAGCAAAAGAAAATGAAAACAGAATTTGTTAGAATTTTTGCCTTAAACAGAGGCAGAAATCTTAATGGATTTGATTTCAATCGCGCAGAAGGAATAATTTTGGATGATAATGGTGATGCAAAAGTTCTTAAATCAGAGTTGAGCACCCCAGTTGTCTATAACTCATTAAGTACGGATTCAATTTGGGATAATTTAAGAAGTACAAGTTTATTTACAAGTAATAGAGAAAATCAAGAGCTAAATAATGACAATAATCAAGTACAGATTCACGTTCCAGTTTCAACAGTAGAATATACATCTGCTGCGTCTGATAAATTTATTAAAGATGTAGAGAATGCACTTGAGATTTCGGACAAAACTGAACAAAAGAAGATGCTAGAAAAATGTTTTAATTATTATGGTAATTACGTGGTCAAAAAGTTCACACTTGGCGGTGTTATCACAATTGGAAATTGGTTAAACGCATCTAATAAAGAAAAATCATATTTAAAGAGTTATATACAGTGGGGTATTGATTGTGGAAAAGGAAAAGCCACCGAAATTTTTGAAGATGTACCACTTGACACTATACCGCCACTTCAAACTGATGGCGAGATGGATACCCTTGGTGACTTATATAATTGGTTTAAAAGCTTATATGGCCTTGATTTTGCCAAGGTTATAGCATATGGAAAAATAATCCCATCTTATAAATTACTACCGGATATATTGCAAAAAAAATTACTTGAGATTTCTGGTTGTGATCCTGTTGAAGCGCTCGAGGGCGAATTAATTCCTAATGTTCCAATTCACTATGAAAGAAAGGAACTTGTATCATGGATAACATTAAAGCCTCCACTTGAATTATTTTTATTGGATTTTGTTCACAATAATTCACTTCAATATGGTGTGATTCTACAAAAATCAGATCTTGGACACGCAAAAAAGGCTGCTTTTAAGTTTCTGAGGATCCCTACCGTTACTGAAATTAGAAAAGTTACGCTTTCATTAACAGAAACACAAAATCGTCAAGACGCCTATTTATTGGAAAACGGTATAGTTTTAAAAGATGAGGATAAATTAGATCTTGATAATATCCCTTACGCGGAATACAGTTCAGTGCTTCATCATCCCTTGGAGGATTTCAAATCTGCTAAAAATCAACCTTTTCAGGCAATTTATTGTCAAATAACTGTTCATATGGCAAAACTTTCTTTTAACCTTGCGGATATCAAATCTTTACAGGAATATTCAAATAGCGTCAATACGGCTCTTCAAAGTAATGAGCCGTTTAAAAGCATTTGTAAAATATTCGGAGATGATTACGGCCATTTATTATCAAGGACTTTGACTGTAGGTGGAATTTTATCGAAGAAATGTGTTCTACGGACAAAGAAAAATTTACCTGAAAGAAAAATTGAATATGAATTTGAAATAAACGATCCTCAAATAATTGATAAAATTAATTTTCAATTGAAAGAATGGGAAAAAGATTTTGAAGTGAACACTTCATTTTTAATTGGCAATAATGGTGATATTGTTGGCCGCGATGGGATTAAACCTTGGCTTGAATATTTCCAGGATTTAACTATTAATGCATGTCGAAATTGGAGTATTGTTGCTTATGAAGACTGGACACCGCTATACAAGATTTTGCGAAGAACAAGCACCAATATTGATAGTACCTTTGGTCAATATCAGATTGTTTTTAGTGGAGAAGAGCTATTCCAGATGGATGATCAGAAAACCTTCATTATTAGATTCCCTGGTTCACTTATTGACAATAATTATCATATTTTTGGAGGAGTCGTAAAGAAAGTCGAAAATGGAAATAATGGGAATGGAAATTGGATAAGATACCAACATCCTAACCTATCTGTTCGATTCGATCATCAAAATAAAAGCAGTTGTGTCGCGTATATATATAAATCTAGGAATTTCAACACACAGTATGTATTTAGAATTATATTATATTTATATTTTATTTGTTTCAATAATTTATTAATTTTATGAAATTAATTATCAAAGACTAAACAGAGAAGATACAAGATTACTGTGGTTCGTGCTTGCTGATCCAAGAGGATTTTGTAGTAATAAAAATAGGAATCTTAAAGTTCTCTATGGAAATCACTCCGTCAATGAAACTCCATTTGAAGTAGCTTTAGAATGTAAAAATCTTGCGTCGAATTGTGTTCTGATAACGTCAATTGTGTCAAAAGACGAAAACGCTTTTTATACCATCAAACCTAAAGCTTGGTCGAAATCCAGAATTTATCTAGAAATAACAAAAGATCCATTAAGTGATGAGTATGATACAGAAGGAATTGCTGATGTATTTGATGATGATGGATTTGATGATAAAGATTCTGATGGATTTGATGATAAAGATTCTGATGATGGTACTGATAAACTTGATGATGAAATAGAGCAAGCTGCTCAAGAAATTACTGCTCAAGCAACTACTGTTCTCAAGTGGTGCGTAGTCTACACTGACGAAAGAAAACCTATGGTTAGTGAGGCTAATAATTTACGGACACATAATTGGAATTCATTTGGAGAGTATCTTGATGACGGTATAGAATGCTTGGAGGAAGAAGATGGAGATGAACTTGACACGCAATCTGGAATGCTGTTAGAAGAAGCAATTGAACAACATAATTTAAATGATGGTAGATTGTTTGAAGCTTGGAAGACGTTCATAAATTGTGCTAGGAAAGGAGATCAAGTTGCACTTTATTGGATTGGATTTTATCTCCAATATGATATTTTATCAGCTTCTAAATTTTATTTAAGAAGATTTTACGACGAAGCTATTGATGAATTTGCAGAAGGTGCTGAATCAAATTTACAGGCTGCAATGATGCTCTATAAAAAATCGGCAGATGCCGAATACCCTGAAGCGCAATTAAGGTACGGTTTTGGCCTTTATTCGGGACAAGGAGTCCCTCAAGACCGGGAGAATGCCATTCATTATTTTAGATCATCTGCAATGAATAAGAATCATACTGCAATGTATAACTTGGGAATTATTTTGATACTGAGTGGGAACGATCCAGATAAAGCTGAAGGAGAGAGATGGCTAAGAGAGGCCGCCAGAAATAATCATCAAAAAGCTATAGATGTCTGCAGAGAGCACCACATTGAAATTAGTTAAAACTTTTTATTTTAATTTATTTGATTTCTTTTGATAAGATAATTCATATAATTGGTGATATGTAAATTTCTCATAATTTATAGTTTATTCATTTGTATACAATAATAAATATGTTGAGATCACCTTTATTATGTATTAAAAATATGGAAGAGCAACTTCTTATATTGGTTGTTTAACAAACATTTTATGGTAAGAAAAATAAACATTTAAATATATCAGAAATTCAAAAAGTGACCAACAAGATTGGTTTCGAAGTGAATGCATGACATTAAATATTTTGACTGCACTAACGCTAAGTTTTTTGACCTTCTCTGTCCAACAACGTCTAGCATTATTTTAGCTAGATAGCTGCACAATATGGTCAAGATTAAACCATGAGCATAAAATGATATCAGTAAAAAAGTATGATTGTTTCTAAGAAAAAACCAGTAAGCACGAATTTAAATTTCGCTATGCCGAACTTAAACTCAGAATATTTGATTAAAGTTTTTTAAGTTTAAGTTCAACAGAATGAAAATTTAAATTCGTATTTATTGTTTTCTCTTGGTATCATCTATATAAACTTTATTGTTGGGTTTCTGCACGCTCGATGTGATTAGCTAATGATTGTGTCAATGATTAAATATTGCTATATATTTTATGCTGCACAAATAAGCTGTATGTTATGATTTATTATTAGTTTGGTTAAAATCTTCTCTGAACCTATTATGTTTAATTAGAGATATAGACTAGAGATGTATTTAAGATCTAGATTTATAGTGGGTTACAGTTGTCTAAGTTTCTATATAGAATTATACTATTGCTTGTTGTTCTTGATATTTTTATTTTATTTTATAGTTATGCTTAATATAGAAGTTTGCAGTTTGTTTGTTGTTTTTGATAAGTCTTGTTATCTGTAGCATATAGCACAATTTTAGAATTATATATATATTATTTATATATGCCACTTGAGTAATTATAGGTTAGGTCTTATGTTATTAATTATATGTTTTTTATTTTAACAAACATATTAAGTTTGTTATTTAATTATATTTTCAAATATCTTTTAATTTTGTTTCTATTTTCTTATATTCTTTTATTGTTAAAAAAATTTTTTTATTTTGTATTTTTTTAGATTTATAATAATTAGTTTGATTTTTTGTTAATTTTAAAAAAATTTTTTTATAAACTCTACTGTTTTTTTTTGTTTTTTGTTTTTTTGTAATTCATATTGTATTGTTGGCATATATTATTACAATTTATTTTTATTTTTTTTATTAAATAATTTAGACTATATTAAAGAGTATTTTTATATTACTATATAATTTAGTTTAAAATTATTTTTAAAAAAAATTATTAAGATTTATTAGCATATATTATTATGATTTATTTTTATTATTTTCTGATTAAGTAATTTAGGCTATAGTTAAAAGGTATTTTTATATTACTATATAGCTTAATTTAAAATATTTTAGAATTTTTAAAAAATTATAAAAGGTTTTTCAAATTAAAAAAAAATAATTTTTTTTATTTAATTCTATTACTTATTTTAAAATTTTGTATTGTATTTAAATCTATAATAATTCTAAATTATATAATAGAATTATAAAACTATTTTAATAGAGCTTATTATTATACAAAAATCTATTACAAAGTTTATTAAATCTAATAAATTTTTTTACACTATAATTAGCAAGCTTCAATTAAAATTTAAAAATAGAATATTTTAATATTATAGTAGTTATAAAACAGGTTTTAAAATTTTTTATTATTTTTTAAACTTGAATTTGTCAAACATACCATTACTTATTACTATTTTTAATTTTTTACTCTATATAACTTATTATATAAACTTCTTTACTAGTTAAGAATATAAAGATTTTAATTAAATTTTAAATTTTAAATTTTAATATTATGTGTTATAAAATTATATTTTAAAGCAGTTATATATTTATATTTATTAACAATATAATTAATTATAAATTTAATTAATTAAATATTTTATATTAAAAAATTTAATTATTAATTTAATCTTTTTTTTATTTTTGTATTATATCAACTAGATTGCCAGATAAAAACTAAAGAAAAAAGAATTTATTTAGAATATTAGAGAATATCTAATAGTTCTTCTTGAGCTATTAGAATTAAAAGTTTGAAGTATTATTAGTTAGTATTAAAGTCTGGATAAACTTTGCAAAAGTACAAAATAGGTAATAGTAGTAAAAGTAAAAGGCACAAGTACTTAGCTATAATCAAGATATAAATTATTTAAAATTTAGATGATATATATAGAATATAAACTGCTCTAGTAGATTTATTTAAGAGTAAGTAGTTCTAAAAGCTTTAGCAACAGTTATGTAGTAATAAAAATATCAAATAATATAAAGTTAATCAAAAAGTTTAAATAAGAGATCTACATACAGATCTTAAATCTAGCAATTAATAAATAACTATAGTTATAAATAAATATAATAGAGTTTTTAAATAGATAATAACTAAAGTTATATATATAATTAATTGTATTCTTGTTAATATAACAAAATCAGATAAGGTCAATAAAACTAAACTGATATTTGAACTAATTTGTAAATAATAAATATACTAGACCCAAGTAATCACCTTAATATTAAAAAATAGATATATTTGTTTTTATTAATTTTATTTAATATTTTTTACTATATACTATATTTGTTAATTTTTTATTAAATTTATCAAACTTGCTATATTTTTAAATTTAACAAATTTTTATATTTTTGTTATTTTATCAAATTTGATATTTTTAACAAACTTAGTTAATTTTAGATTAATATTTTTAAGCTATTTTAGTATTAATTATTATTTTGTTTATTTTATAACTATTATTTAAAAATAAATTAAAAATAAATAATAAGTATTTTTAATATTTAAGTTTTTATATTTTAAGGTTGTTATAGTTAGTTTTAATAATATTAGTAATATTAAGATTTTTTATATTTTGTAATATTATTTATAATTTTTATTATTATATTTTGTATTTTATATTAGAAAATAACTAATTATTACCACAGGTAATTATTATCTGTAATTTTTAATGTATAACAACAAAACAACAAAATAATTTTTTTTAAATCAAAAAATAATATTTTTTATAGTTAGGGTTAGAATAAAGTTTGAAATAAAGTACAGAAGTATTGCTTATAGTAAAATTTTACAAGAAATTTTTTTTTGTTAAAGTGTAAAAAGTAGTTTCATAAGCAAAATATTGAAATATTAATGATACAGTTGATGATCACCTGTAATATAAATTAAAATTTTTTTTATTATTATATTAATAATTTATATTAAATTTTAAGTAAAGTTATTTGAAAATTTACAAAGTTTAAATTTTAAAATATTTCTTTTACCAAAATTTAAATTAATCTGTTTATAAAATTCTTGATAATATATTTTTAGAAGATTTAAAATAATGTAATTAATTAGTCTAATATTATTTAAATTAAATTACTAGTTTATATTTTAGATTTTAAATATTTATTATTTTAATTAAAATTTTTTTATATTTAATTATTTACTATTTTAATTAATAAATATTATTTATAATTTTTAAAATTATTTTTTATTTAGTCTATTTGTATATTAAATTATATTGTTTATAATATTTTTAGTTTAGTTTTATATTATTTTAATAGATAATTTATTAGTTTTTATAATACAAGTTATACAAAATTTATATATAAATTAATTAATTTCTATTTGTATATAGGTATATACAGTGCCTGACAAAAGTTTTTCTATATTTATAAATCTCTTAAAATCATATGTAGTATTTTTAAACTTTTTGTAAACAAAAAAGGCCTTGAATATAGATTTCTACATATTTTCAGGTTGGTAGATTCTTTTAATAAATATCTACTATATAAATATTATATGATCTCAAATATATTATTACTTGATAAATTCTTTATTAAACTTTATATAAAATTTTCTCAACAATAATATAATAAATTTTAACAATTAAAACTTCAGATTTTATGCATTACAGGTGGGCAATCTGTTGAGGCTAAAATGCAATATAGATGAGCAAATACTATCAATTTGTAATTTAAAGTCTGAGTAAAAATTGCTAAAGCTTAAGTGAAAATTACTTGAGTTTAGACTGAAACTTAAATAAAAATCTCTTGAGTTTAAACTGAAGCTTAAGTGAAAATTACTTAAGTTTAAGCTGAAGTTTAAATGAAAATCGCTTGAGTTTAAGTGAGAGTTTAAGCAGAAGTTTAAGCAGAAGCTTAAGTGAAAATCATCTAAGTTTAAATCAAACTTTTATTGGTTATCTAGTTTGATCAGGTTTTAATATCTAATACACTATCCGTTAACTAATATAAATGCAACGAAAACTTAATATTGAACTAGGGATAGATCGGTCCTCATAAAGATCAGGACTAGAGATGCAGGTGAAACTTGGGTCATTGGGATGTGCCATGTCAAAACTCAGTTATAACTAGTTACAACTTGCTGATTAAAAATGTGGCAAATTGAAACTTGCAAGTTCATCGTTCTAATGCGGCATGTCGCAACTTATTTATATGCCACAACCTGTATTGTATACCATAACTTTTTGTAACTAGTATATATGTATCGTATACGTATCGTATATGTTGTGAAGAGTAGATCGTTGCTTGTAATAGGTTTTTCTATATTTGGTGGATCGGATATATATCTGGCTTAGCAAACTTTGCATGCATCTTGAACATTTTGTACACAGTGCATATAGCGTACATATAGTAAATATTCTACATAGTGTACATATGGTACATATTCCACATAGTATACATATGGTATGTACATACATGTTCTACATAGTCAACATATAGAACAAATGTAATATAGTGAACATTTTCCACATAGCGAATATAGTGAACATATTCCACATAGTCAACATAGTGAGCAAAAGTAATATAGTTAACATAGCGAATATAGTGCTTATGTACCAATAATTGTAAAAAAATATAAAATACCCACCCATTAACTTTCTAAAGTTCAAT